GTTTTTTTTTTTTTTTTTTTTTTTTGTGGTTGGACTCGATGATCTCAGAGGTCCCTTCCAACCACTAAGATTCTGTGATTCTGTAATATCAAAGATGGCAGAGGTTCTGCCTTCCAGCACCAGGGGGCACGGCACGCTCGGGAAGGAGAGCAGAGGAGAGGAACCTCCAGTTTAAAGAGTGGGATGTAGCAGGTGAAGCAGGTTTGTAACTCACTGAACGTAATCACCCAGCTCCACTTCACAAGATTATTTGGAATCCTGTTAGGGCCACATGTTGGTCAGTCACTAGGGGATGCTCTGCACGGGTTATACTGGCTTCAGCTCTAAAGAACTCAACTCAATACCAGTTACCAATGTTCTTCCACATCTGCTGCCTTGCCTCTTTTCTTGTCCAACAATTCCTTCCCTCCCACAGCTCGCCAAGCCAAAATACCCAGTAGAAGTTAGTGGCAGCTTCCAGGGAAGCTATTGACTGGTTAGACTGGTTATTGACTTAAGAGCTGAGAGAGCAAGCTCCTAGGAGATGCCTCACTAGACCGTCGGCTGTGGAGAAGCACCCTGCCAGCTCCACAGCTCCTTTGTGTTCACGCTGGCCCCGACAGGCACTAACAATTAAAAGGTCGAAGATTGAGGGGCTGGCTGTTCCCTCCACCCATTTTGTTTGTATTCCTATTTTTAAAGCTTCGACAAACCCTTTTAAAAAAACAAAACAAAAAAAAATAAAAAGAAACAGCAGCGGTGTTTGTCACAAGACTCCACAGGGCTATCCAGACACCTCCTCCCAACATAGCTCTCCCACACCATTTCAGTTCTGCTGTATCTACTCCAGTCTGCTCCAGTCCAAGCCCACAGCACCAGAGTGGCTCCATCCCTCCCAGCAGCACACCCTACCTCCCATTTCTTGCACAACGTGTTTCAACCACGACCCACAGCGACGACTTCCGTTTGGTTTTGTCACCCTTTGGGTTCCTGAGCTTGTGTCTAAGTGGTCTACCCACAGCCACCAGTCATTCCTGTGCCTCTTCCACACCCTGAACCCCACCACACTCCTTCACCTGTCACCCTCCTGTGCTCCCACCGGCCAGGGGACACCACACGGTGGCC